GTGAAAAATAATCTGCTGTATTAATTTAAATATAATTGGCTTAATTCTATATTTTCAAAATTCAAATAGCAAAGTGAAGGAATAACTCATGGTATTGTTGTTAATTTATACAATATATTACCAAATAAGTGGGAAGCTATTCTTTTTGTGGCCCCAAAACTGGTGCACACCAGGGTCCCAACTGGTGTACATGGGCTATTCTGAGGTTACAACCATGCATGCATTTCTGTATTTGAAATTTTGCTACCATTCCAGGGCTACATTTGGTGCACAAATGTGACATAACAAGAGTAACACACAAATACACCAACTTTAACCTTTGTGTAACTTATTTGTTTACAACTGTGACCCTGAGTAATCCTGGTGTGAACACATAATTGGTGCACATTAGGGATATACACGTGCAAAAGAAGAACTTTGGTACACTTCAGGTGCATACTGTGGTCACTGTGTAGAATTACAGACATATCCCCAGTCTGCACTGATTTCCCCACTTGATAATGGTCAATAATTAATTGCTGTAACATATTGCATTCAGATTTTACTAGAATAATACGTGCGATGCGAGTTATTCGTCAGGAGAATCGACCATAGACTGATTCCAGAACCATGACAGTTATGAAAGTGCTGGAGAGGATTATATGAAAATTTGTGAAAACTTGAAGAAATGAGAGTATCATCTCATCCCGCATCCACTGGATTAATTTTTTAATCCAGTTGAAGAATCAAAGCTTGAAGTTTCTGACACTGGACTTTTAAAAAAGTGAAAATTGAGGGATAAATCAGAAGGTATCACGTAACATTTAACATATTGATTGATTTACATGAAGCACGGTGGAATCTGGTCAAGTGACATAGCCCATGTGATTTTTTAAACTTATATAGAATAAGTCGAAAAAAAGGACTTTTCGCAATATTCAAAATGAAGTTTTTTCTGAACATATCAAAATCGAAAAGAATTGCCTATTTAAAGGGCATGTGATACTTTGAAATCCGACTCGGGTTTCACTAGTTCAGTGAACACAATTTTGTTGTTGTTTTTGTTCGTTCTCGTAAAATAAAAACGCGAATAAAGCAGACGTAGAAGCAATACAATCGTGACAAAAATGCAATAATTATATCCACAAGAAAATAAAGCTTGCTTACAAAGAGAAGATCGCAATGTAATAATTAACATAATAGGAATTCATGTAGTGGTTTAATTTCGGAGACTCTGTTTTTCGGATAAAATAAACATGGATTTTGAAGATTACAGATCATTCCGTTTCTTTCGAGTACAGTACTTTTATACTGCATGTGTGTACTTTTTTTTCATTTTTGGAGCTTTCTACAGGAGTTCTCCCCGAAAGTTTGTTAAAACTGTCCCAGGATCCTTGATGGGCACTCTTTTTGAAAAGAACAAAAATGCACAAGTCATGAGGTCAAAAATTAAATTGACGACGATGCTCCAGAAAATGTTGAGTTGTAAACCTGGCTGTATGAGCACAAAAGCGATCTCTTTACGATCAGTTTCAAAATGTTTCCTTGAAACAGAAATGCACTGGCACGTGGCATCATATCACCCTCGGAAAAATCGCGTAGCAAAACATTCCGCGAGTGACAGTAAGAAAACTGTTTTTTTCTCAACGCTCTCTTTGACCTGCAGCACAAGAATCAATGTGATATAAAACGGAGGAACGTCGCATATAACCTTTTAGAAGTTTATAATTGCCGTGATTATCATTCATGCGCATCGGTTATTTTCGAACCAGAGAAATGCTCCTTTATTCTGGCTCAAACCAGAATTTTCACTGAATTTTGATCCTTCGGGATAATTAATTTATCACAGGTAAAGGAAACTCTTTTGTCTCATACGTGGACTATAGAAATATAGAAAATTCAATGCAAACATCAGTTTCGGAAAACAGATGATGAACGTGTGCAGACAAACAGGCGACGAACACGATTGCTCGTGTTTCTGGACAAGCAGCGACACCTTCGCAACGATGAATAACCCGCACGACAGAATTCAATGTGCGTATTGTTAGGTTGACTTTTTATAAGTTGAAGAAATACGTTTTTCTGAAGCGCTAAAGTGACGACCCGCGTGTTTTCAAAGAAGAAACTTGATAAAAAAAAAAAAGATTTCCTTTATCCCTCCCTGCTTTCTGTGTTTCATGGACAAAGTTTTTCAAATTCTGTTGAAGCAGAACAGTTGTGTTTTCTTCACACCCAGCTGAGCAAAAAGTAATTGCAGTTACACGAACGCGAACAAAGAAAGAATCAGTCTGAACTTCAGTTGGCTAGCGTCTGGACGAGTCAGTTGTATCTTCTCAACCAGTTTTGTCAAAGTAGAAAAAAAAGTCTCAGGGACATTCAGCGAGCTGGTTTGAGTGCAAACTGTGTCCAAGTGATGGCGATTAGATCCCTTTATTCGCTGATCGCATTTGCGATTTTAATCTTCAACCATTCCATCACCGTGGATTCACGTAAGTCTCTCTTTTTCTACCTGAAAATAAATTCATTGAGTAAATATTAATTTTACATGAAAAAATTGCTGTACATTCAATATCATACGTTCGTTTAGATTCCTTCGCGTGGTACATAAGATTTTCAGAAGAAGAAAAAGAAACATGCTCTCATCCGAAGATTTTTTTTATACTTTTCCAAAATTTTCCAACTATGGGGAAATTTTAAAGATGAAGCCGCGAATTTTCTAAATTTAGAATGCTCGATACATGCTCCTACGAAAGGATTTGTTCATTTTAGCTGAACATTTTCATGAATGATCACTTCCAGGCACAAATGATTAATTTAAAAATCATTTCGGGAATAATCATGACAAAGAATTCGTCTTTTTGAGGATGCTCACGCAACTCACCATAGCTCAACTGTTTCCTCTCTTTCAATTTTCTCAATACTTCAGAAAACATGGATATTGATCAATGAATCCCTTCTTGTAGTAATTCTGGATGGTACATCGGGAGGGGAAATGTTGTCAAGAGCTACCTTGGGATGAACACGAGCTTTATTCCGAAACAAGCTGGGGGTGCCCAGCCACACCTGGGCATTGGACAGATTTTAAATGTTAAAATTTTGATCAGATCACACATGCAAGAGAGCATGCCCAGTTGTGTGGCCCAGTCACATCTCTGTGCATGAAGTATTTTGAAGAGAAACGCGGGAAATTCAGGTCTGAGGGAACTCTGGTCTCTTGGAGGCGGGGCAAGGGAAATTAAAAAAACGTGCGTACGAACTTAGGAACAGAGATAAGTAACTTTATTAGTAAAGATTGCCTCTTGATTTAATTTCTTCTCTTCTCAAATTCTAGTTTGAGAGCGTGTCGAAAAAATTTGTGTAAAAATACCCTTGCGTAAAAATAGAATACTTCAACCAAACATGTTCTTCTCGCAAATTAAACCGGAGCTCAGGAATAAAAAAAATTCAAATGTATACCTTTATTTCTGTTAGAAAGGATTTAAAAAGAAAATATTTCAAAAATAATTTATCGCGTGAGTTGCTTATAGTCTGCCAATGCCTCATACACGTTTGTAAATATCTGCTTACATCATAGAGTTGTAAAAATTTTTGTTTACTCGAATACCATGCAACGCATTTGTGAACGAAGATTATCATCAAATTTCAAAATAGACAAGACGAAATTCACATTGCTGATTTTTTACTCAATTCAATTACAAGAAACTTTTTTGTCGGACGCATTCAAAGAATCACGCTTACTTCTACTCATCAAACTCTCAAGTTCTGATTCAGAATTTCAATTAAATATAAAGTTGTTCTTCGAAGGACTCCAAAAACTTGATCCGCAGTATCGAGTCAAAATTGTAAGCAAACGATGAAGTTTTTCTTGAAGGATAAAAAGGTCAGTGACCACAATTGAAATGTTGGCGGGTGAACAATATCGTCACGCTGGCAGGAGAATTTTGTTTTTGTTTTTTATTGGTACACAAAACGTTGATCGCTTCGCCATCAGTCTGTTTTACATTGCAATACAATAATCCGTCTTTTATTCATTTCACTCATGCTAATCTAAATAATGAAAAGTTTACAAAACACAGTATCAACACTGAACTCGGTGTTTTTACCGGGGAAAAAGAAATATACCTTTCCACCTAGGCGTAATTTTATATAACTGCAAACCTAACACAAAATTATACTTCACTAGATGTCACCACAGACATTCACAATTGAAAGAGCTCACTAAATATAACAAAAAATATGATGAAATTCTTACAAGGAATTTCAGCACTCTTTCATTTCCTTGATATTTTTATATTCCCGCGCGTGCGGATTAATTTTTAATTACTTTTTCATAAATTGTCGAAAACAAGAAGTTTCTGAGTTCATATTCCCATTCAAGTAAATTTTGAACAAAAACAATTTTGAGCGTAATTTATATATTTGAATCAATATTTGGATTGAAACATAAATTGCTTGATTAGAGATTTCATTGCTGCCTGAAAATTAATCAGAACTTTGGTTGACCCTTTAACTTTACTCTCCTTTATTGTAACTAATAATCTGAAGTTAAAATTTAGCTTGCGTTCTGAATCACTCATTGATTTTGATCTTGACAAATGTTGAGCTGAACTGAATCAAGAAATCTGTCCATACATTTCATCTTTTGCTGAAAAGATTGGTTCTTCAAGCGTGGGTGCTTTCTTTGCTCAAATGACTATTCAAGCAGCAGTCTTTCATCCCTTCTTCAGAGATTATGCATTATACCATTTTTTCTAGAACATGTTGGCATGAAAAAAACACATAGACCCCTCTGCACGCCATCAGATATCCGAAATTTCTATGATAACTGCAAGAAAAAAATTTTGAAATATTCTTTTCAGAAATTACAATGCTTACCAAGATTGATTCTTCTTGATTCTAGGGCCGTACTATCATTCGAAAAATGATGGGATATTCTTTCATCCTCTGGAAAGAGTGGAGGACACAGCAGAATCTAGTACAACAGAAACTCCAACTGTTACCATTACAACAGAGCCACTCACCACTACTCCCACAGCAGAACCTCCTACCACCAATACTGCATCTGAGTCATCCACCATTACCAGCACAGCAGAGTCTCCCACCACCAATACTGCATCTGAGTC